GCTCAATTTGCTCCTCCCTTCTCTCCCTGAACATTTTATTGTTGGGAGCTCATTAAGGCTAACTGGGATGATTTAAAGATCCTCCATGATCTGAGTATCTCTACAGTAGATCATCACAGATTCATTTCATGATGAATGCCACCGCTGACTTCACAGAAACTGTCCTGCAGAAGGAGAAAAAGGACAGCCTTGTCATTCTTTGAGGGTGGAATGATAAGGGTTTTGACCTTGGAGTTGAGTTAACCTTCTTTAACATAGCAACCATTCCCATGGAACCAGTACAGCCCAAGTCTAGACCTGCATCAGGGTGGGCACATTTTGTTAATCTTGGTCCATCATGAGGAACCAGCTGCATGTTCAGGCGCTCAAACTGACATGTGACATTAATAGCCGTGTTTTTTCTGACCTTAATTATGATGAAAGTAATATTATTCTTTGTCTTTTTTTATTAGTCTTTGTATTGAAAGAAAAATGTGGAAAGCAAAATTAATATTTGCAATAAAAAAAGAGTTCCCTGTGATGGACTTGCGACCCGTCCAGGGTGTACCCCGCCCCTCGCACAGTGATTGCTGGACAAGGGCACCAGCGACCACCGTGACCCAAAATGGAATAAGCGGGTAAAGATAATGGATGGATGGATAAAAAAAGAGTGTTAATTTGGACCTCAAAGTGATGATTTGTAGGGCTGCAATATGTCTGACTAATTTATTATCGTTACGACAAAGTATCACAAAAGATGTTTGGAATGGAAGAAGTTATAGACCATTACACTTCAAGTAGCATGCCGTCATGTTCTGCTGCGATCAGTATTTTTAATCACACCGTCAGATTCTCACTGGCCTTGATGTCCACACCTGGTGTAGATGATAGTGATGACAGAAGAGAAAGTGAGGAAAATGTGGGTTTTCACAACTGATAAGGTTGTTGCAATATAAAACAATAATATTACACATTGCATGTTTTTCTAATGTGCAAACCTAAACACTGGTTTTGACTGGTATGTTGGTGCATGGGTGGCATGGTGGCACAGTTGGTAGAGCTGCCGCCTCTCAGAGAGCAGGTCACCGGATCGAATCCTGGACAGGTAGCCATTCAGTGTGGAGTTTGCATGTTCTCTCCGTGCATGCGTGGGTTTTCTTTGGGCACTCTTGTTTCCTCCCGTAGACCAAAAACATGCATGTTAGGCTGATTGGTAACTCTAAATTGTCCCTAGGTGAGAGAGCGAATGGTTGTTTGTCTTGTCTGTCTCCGTGTCCCTGTGATGGACTTGTGACCTGTCCAGGGTGTCTCTTGCACAGTGATTGCTGGATATGGGCACCAGTGATCGAAAAGGAAGAAACATGTAAAAGATAATGGATGAATGCCAGGATGGATGTTGGAATTACATAAAGAATGAAGTGTATTTTGTATAAATCAAGTCTTGTGACATATATGACGTAGATGTAACATTTATAACACATCCTCTTACAGTACAGTGTACTATGAATGTGGGATATTTGCAGCGTACTGTGATGTGAACATGACATATGTTACTTTGTAACCATGTTGTTTTTGTTGGTGTGGTGTTCACCAGCTTCTTACTGCTGCAGTTCTTCCTTGAGCCTGACCAGAGAGCAGTCTTCTGTCAGCATCCCGTCATCGTCTCACCCGCCAGCTTCTTTTGCTTGTCTTGTCAGCGCCTCCTGTTGCTCTGCTCTAGCAGATAAAAGTCCAAAACCAAACGCATAACATCAACTTGCCGGTCAGTTTCCTTCCAGGTCCACGTTTGTGAAATAAACAAGTAGAAATGTTGGTCGTATATCGACGCACATAATTTGAGAAGACACTACATACAACCAATACTGAACAAATACTGTGTTGAAGTAGTTGGTACTCTTACAAACTTACATATTATAGTTCCACGCTACTTCGCGTTTTGACTTTAGCGGACTCTCTCTTTCACGGTTTTTCAAAGTAAGATTGGACATGACACAGTTGGCTGATTGATGGATGAGCTGCACGAGCGGCATGTGTAGTTTATTTAAAATAAATTATTTTAAATGATTTAGCAACTGCTAAATCATTAGCTGCAGGGAGAAGCTCCCTCCTGCAGCCTGTCATGATCTCCTCTCTCTGCCACCTGCAGCTCTCTGTCACGCCCACATGTCTCCTCCTTGCTACATCGGCTTTGTGAAGGGTTAACCCTTTGCTGTCCAGATGCACCAATCGACTTTTGTCTTCCAACTTAAAATTCAAAGTATGTATGTCGTAAAATTGTCATAATCACAAAACATAAAAGTGTTAAAAGTTGTTTTTAATTATTTTAGAACTTCCATGTTCAGTTGTTGAAGTGTAATTGAAAAGAAGTACATTTCTGCTCTTTGCTGCAGAGCTGTGTGAAAAGTTAACCCTTTGCTGTCCTGCTGCCCTTCACTACAATTTAAATTTAAACACTGTAACATTTTAAATCAACAATCCATGCTGCATGGATTGCTTATTTAAAATCTTACAGTATTTAAATTGTTTATTTATACACAAGGAGAGAGTCTGGGAGTAACAGGTGACGAGTGCGGTTGCAGCGGTGAGTGTGGTTGCAGCGGTGAGTGTGGTTGCAGCGGTGAGTGTGGTTGCAGCGGTGAAGTGGGTGTGGCAGAGAGCAGACATCATGACATCCTGTGCTCTTTTAGAGCGTTTAGAGTCTAGAAACATTGTTTAGAATATTGCAAGAGTGTGGGCAGGGTTTATAAAACCTTTATATATATATATATATATATAT